AAAAAAAAAAAAGTCAACATATGAAAATGACTATTAACAAAAAAGAAAAAAATAAAGACAAAAATAGAAAATAAATCAGTTGAAAAAAAGAACTAAAGGTTCTTTATATTTGGTATCTGTACTGCATAATGTAAAAGTATCATTTTGTAAACAGTATTTGTCTTATGATTTAAATTTAGTGCCTTTTTTTGACTTTCTTTTGTTATTTTAGTTTCAACAGCTGAAAGGTCTAGTAAAAAATGACGAAAAAAAAAAGTACTGACTAAAAAGTCGAAAAAAACTCGAATTATAGACAAGAAAAATAGTCAAAAATAAGTATTTTGGCTTTTGAACCACTGCCTCTTCGTGCATATGTATGGTGGTGGACCTGTAAATTAGGAAGAGCAGAAAAATGTTGAATTTCTTAACAGTACTTCTAAGGCAAAACTAAAAATTCTGTAACAGGATATTTTTTTGGGCATCTATTTTGTTCTATAATAACTGAAGAAAAAAAACAACATTCCTTTCTTCTCTTCCATTTTCGATTGAAACCTATAGTACATTTTTGTACCACCCATATGCATCTGATACAGTATACCAATAAAGCAGTGAAAAAATAGAGCGCATATGTAACAATTCCCATTGCTCATTATTTACAGCTTTAAAAAGGCTGTAAATAAAAGACTGCGCTTAAAATAGGAATAAAGAAAGAAAGAAAGAAGAAAGAGATAAAAAAGCTGCAAATTTGAAAGAGGTCAATGAATACGGTGATTATGTAGTTATTACTTCGTCTGTTTTTCAGCTTTTTTAAATTCCACTGCTTCAGAATCTCCACAAATTTCTTTCCCTTACTTACAGCCTTCCACAGACTAAATCTGTTTCATGGCCTCTGAACAATTATACGTTACTGCTGTGGGTAACTTTTTGTAAAATTCCCCCGAAAAAATTTGCTTTTTTTCTATACATTTAATGACTGATATGTATCTTTTGGGAAACACAGTTGTAACAGTTTTTCAGTCATTTTAATCAACAAATTTTGTTAAACCGATAAATTAAAAACAAATTGTTTTTTTTTTCATTTATCGGTCTCGTGAACTGAAAATAATTCATGTTTCACATTTGTATCAACTAAAACTGACAGCTAATGTAAAGTAAATTCTAAAGCAAATTAGAGCAAATCATCATTCTTTTAAAAATTGAAAAGCGCTGTCAATTTTATCTTCCATCACTTCTTTATTCCCTTTTTTTAAAAGTTTAGTTGTTTGACGAACGAATAACAATTATACATTTGTCCTGCCAAATACTTCAAATATAACAGCCTAACACTGCTTACAACGGGTCAGCAACAGATAAGCCATGGAAGCTGCCACTTTTTCAAATAACATTTCTTATTTACCAAGGATCTCTTATGTGGAATAATGGAAAAAAACATAAACAAAAGCAAAAATATGAGTGAAAACAGAAGCAAAAATAATAATAAAAATAACAACAGCAAAATGAAAACAAATGTAATAGAAAAAAATAATAAGAATAATAATAATTTTTCAAAAGTGATTTTTAAGTGCTTTTTTCTTTTTCTTCTCCTCTGTAAACATAAATTAAAATCTAAAAATTTAGTAATTATTTTAGCTACTTTATGCGTTGATTTGAAGCCATTGGTATGTGTGCATTTGTATAAATGAAATTTATACACGTGTTTTCTTTCAGCATGCTGACCAGCCACAAAATATAATCTTTTATTTACAAAGAACTCACTTTAGCCTTATTGCTAATTTCTCCTCCCTTTTTTCTCACTCTTTTTCTCTAATACTTTTCTCAAATTTATATATGGCAAAATAAATAAAAACTATAGTTATATTAATATTCCCTTTTACCTTTTTTCTTGCAAAATTTGCAGCCATTTGGAGAGTAGATTACAAAGCTTCTGATTCTGACAGTTAGACATCAGCAGATGAAAGAAAAGCAATGTTTTCAGACTACACTGACGGAGCACATACAAATTACGTTTCGGTTACAGTTTAGTTACTTGAGGTTGGTTGTTCCATTTTTTGTTTTCGCTTTCAAGCATCAGTGTTCGAAGGACTGTGTAAATGCAGACAAACATTGAACACAAATGAACGCACCGCAAAACAAGGGGTTACGAGAATCCCGAACGAGCATATCACATCCACTACCAGTAACGTATCAAGCACCAAAACACATCTGGGACCCACTCGACGGAAACTACCAGATCAGTTGCAGGGAAGCGCGGACGCTCCCCCAAACGCAAAAATTATGCTGTTGGCAAAATCCCAACTCGGGATTGCCACACGGGTCAGCCGAACCGAAAGTGCAATGGTTAAGCCTCACCATGGAGGTCCCGCCTTCATGATCGCGAGATGCCACCCAGCCAGGTTAGTTTATACCCGTGTGTTAGTCGCCAATGCCATCCTATAATGTGTTCAATTCTAGACGGGTTTGGCACGCACGCACACACTGACACTCACACTGCCAGACAACGTGTGCAATACGGCGATTGTTGCAGCGGCGGTGGTGGTGGTGGTGGAGGAGGGAAGGCCCGTAGTGTTCGACGATTGACTGTTGGCCGGTAACTCGGTTGTTGAGGTTGCAGCAGACTTCTACAATTTTTTTATTGTTTCTGCTGTTTAGCCTTCTGAGTCGTTGTATCGTTTTGGGTTTTTATGGATGAAAAAAGCGAATAAAATTAATTTTTTTTTCAAACGTAAAGTTTTTAAAGTTTTTTCGTCTCTTCCCTACATCTTCCTTCTCTTCTTTCACATCTGTTTCAATAATAATTGTTTAAGAGTAGAGAGAAAAGGAGAAGAGATGACAAAAAGTTTTTTCTTAAATTTGTCAATTGCAACAAAACTTCAGTTTCATATTTGATTCATTGTTATTTTTGAAGTTGTCGCTTTTAGCTTTCCTTTTTTGCGTTCATTTCTGTCGTATTACTATTTTGCAGAACAGAAAGAGATAGCTGGTAGAGCAAAAATTTGTGTTTTTTTTTCTTTTTTTGGTTGACTAATTGAAAATTCATTTGTAGCGTTGCTAAAAGCGATTATGGTTCAAAATTCGTTGAGAAATGTTATCATTTGACGTCCTGTAATAAAGATAACGCTCTTGTTTCGTAATTCTATTTTGTAATAGTGTTAGCGGTAATGTTTATACATTTCCAGCTCAAATTCATCGCTGTTTGTGCAGATCAGTGTATTGAAGAAAAGTTTGGTCGAAAATAAAGTAAAATTACTTGGAGGAAGAAAAAGCAATGAGCAACATTTGTTTGTAGCCTCTAAATAATTACTGAGCTTCGACTTGTTGAACAGTTCTTTTCAATTCTTCCGCATTGGAATGCAGCAAATTTGTCACTTGGTAATGACTGATGTTTCTGAAAGCTTTTCTCACATGATTTTTCATTTACACATCACAGCATCGCAATTCCGTATGATTAAGACACCTCTTGTTTATCTTTAGAAATCTTGCAGTATGAGACAGTAGTCACTCATGAGCTCTGTAAAGCCAGGTAAATACTACTTAAAAATTATGGTTGAATAACCGGTTGATAAATTAATAATTGTTATTACACAATCGATCCCCGACATTGGTTGCTCATTTATCAGATTTATCATTTGAATGAACCAGGTAACGAGAAGAAGGGACAAAACGATAAACGGTCAACAAACTGTTGGCATGGGCATTTTTAAAGTGGACTTCAAGCTGGAGTGATCTGTGACAACAGTAACCAGAAGATGCTCATAAAAACCCTTCAAAGCTGTTGCTAGCTTAAACTTAGTGTGCAGTTTTTAAAAACTCTTAAAGTAGTGTCAGTTCATTGGTGACTGTTGCTTTATTCTGCCTCTAAGTACCGCTTTTATTCTCTTTAATATGAAGAGTAGAAAAGAATGAACGGTTTTGCTCCTTCGTGGTTTTTTCCCCCCGTTCCCAAGCCAACCATTTTTAAGTAGAACTGGCTATGTTCACCTTCCCAGGCAGCCAGTAGCCGACAACAAAGAAGGTTTTTATTAAATGGTATGTAATACTGCTTACAGCTTTGTTACAACTAATTTGGTATTGCTTAATACAGGCAAATAAATTGTGGGAGAAGAGAACTGGAAGATGAAGCAGCTTAATATTCTTATATCCATACGGATGACTGTCATAAATTTCCAAAATTCACTGCCTATTCTTCATCAGTTTTTTTTTTCTGACATAGAAGGACAGGATAGGAGAATGTTTTTTGCGATCTAAAATACATTTTGTATCGCTTCAAGAGAAAAAATATTTAATTATTTTGGCAGAATTTTGAGTTATCTTATTGTTTTGCGGACTTGGTTGAAGATTACCAAAACAGCCTAGTTTTAATCTGTGCAATCGACCAAGACCTTCTTCATATAGAAAAAAAAAAAAAACAGAAAGCAAATGATGCAGTTTCTATGCAGTTTTAGAAAAAGTGGAACTAGTCTGCTATTTCCTGGGTTCCTGATCTGGCGATTATGCTCATAAGCGTTACATACAGTTCACGGCTCTACTTCTGCTTGAGACGGCTTTGAGGACCATTTCAAAAATGAATAAAGAGAGCAGTTTACGCAATCCAGGCGGATGTTTGAAGTGACAGGCAAAAGGTTATTGCTTTAAATCGTATGAGTTTGGTCAGTTACTGTGGCTCTTAGGTTTTTTTACAGAAACAGTTGTAATATTCGAAGCTAGTAATCATAAATTAATATAGTCTACAATTTGTGAGCACACTATATTAACATATTTTAATAGTCATGATCTAGTTTATTTCCGGACTACAGAAATACTAGGAAGCATTAAGTCCTATACCGATACACTGGAGTCTACAATGCACAGCTTTCCTTTGCCAGTACTTTTGCTGCTGGGTGTTTATAACAACTACTTATTTCACTCCGTTTTATAGAAAAGGCAATGGGTAGAGGAATAAAAGCTGTGCTACAGTTCTACAAAGTTTGTGGGTGAGACGAAACGAGGTGCATAACGAAAAATGCTGAGATATGCATTCAAACCCCGTTGTTCCAAAGACTACGTACTGGTGAATAATTGGTCTAAACTGCCATCATTTTATTCGATTTCTTGCTCACTCTTTTTCGAGAGAATATTCGTTGGTCTCATAACTCTTTAATAAATGAATATACTTTTAGAAGACTGCATAGAGCTGATTTCAGTTGATGAATCCATTAATAACTGCGATGCAGGAATGGCCCAAAAGCCTTTTGTCATTAAAAAAACAGTTATGACAACAAGAACAACAGTAAACCTGCATCGGGATTTAAAAAAACTGTCAAAATCAGCTCACAAACTTTCGCAGTTACAGAACATGGCTTTCAGCGCAGGATAATGAGGATGACTATGAATTAGGCGAAGGAAATAAATGTATTCCACAAATTCACAGTGACGGACCGACGTGACATACTTAACGTCAACTACGAACGGCTTTAATCCACCAGTCATTTGTTCTTTTTGATTTTCTGGTAGTTTCATGAGGAGAGATTTGTTTAATTTGTTTTGAACAACTTTCTTGAAATGACAACCTATTGTCTGTCAGATAATATTTGAAAAATTTAGAACATTCAGTTTAAGGATCTGAAGATGATATTATTTCATTTTGGCTGGAAAAAGTTTTAAATTGTTGGCGATTGATTCAGCTGAGCAAGCGGTAAAACTTCTTCGATTGATCAACTGATCACTATTCTTGACAGTGAACCTCATCTTCATTAGTCACTATTTGTGTAATTGCCTTATAACTGCTCTGTAGCGTATAACTTAAGATCTTTCCAACTGCACTATTGTTTCACCTTTTCAGACAGCTTCAGATCGACCACTAATGGTAACGGGAAAAACAAGTTTAAGCAGTACTTAAAAAAAACCTTTAGCTCTGCTATAAAATACTGCCAGTATTGGCTCGTATTACTAAAGTTTACGATCACTGCATAAAAATTCCTCATAAAACATGAAAATGTTAACGCAGTTCTAAAAATCTGCACATTAATTGTCGATAACTTTAAATGTCTTAGATCTAATACTCAAGTAGTGTTAAAATGGACCTAAAAAATTTGATTTTAAATTTCTCAGCTAATTTTTGTTGCTAAGCTACTAGATTTAAAAATGTTCTACGTTGAATTTTCCAATCTGTTCCTTGACTTTTAAGTTTTTTTTATCTTCTTACACACTGATTCACGAGCTACAGGTTAATTAACTAATTAACAGCTGTACTCTTTGGTTTCTGGATTTCATATATACACTGTTCATTCGTTACCTGTGTTTGTAGTTCGTGTTAATTAGTCGATTCCATTAAAGTTGTTTCTTAGGTTTTCTCGCAACTAAACAAGGTACAATTAAAAATTACAACTTAGGTGTTGTCAATTCCACTAACTGCTTTTTTTTTAAATTGAACTAATGAGTACTTTAAGGACTTAAATTTTAAAAGATTTATAATTACAGAGTGAAAGCATTTCCGATACAGTAGAGCAATAAAAATATACTTGACGGTCTCAAGTGCTGCAGGGCCGTTTTAACAGTCTTAAGTCTCAACATCATTTTTTTTTTACAGAACTCTTTTTTATCTTGCGCAGCATTAATTCACACAGCCCTATTTATTTTGTAAATCCTTGCAACTTTTGTTGCGTTTTACCGTTTCTGATCGTCTAAACAAATTTTTGTGGTGAACAAAAATTGAAATATAGATTACTGGATTTTACAAGCCGCTTAGTCCCACAAACTTAAATACCTTTGAAAAGTTAGTCAGTTTCATTGACTTGGTCAATTTTACTTGGTGACAACATTACAACCAATGCAACACCATCCGATGAGCTATTCTTCTAAAATATTTCTGTGGATAAATTGATTTGATTTTCTATTAACGTCTGTCGTCATCGACGTCTGTGCAAACAAAATATCTGTGCATCTGTGACATGTAATTTCGTTACTTCTGTGCTCACCAACAATAGACATATATAGCAGTATAAGGCTCAATTATTGTTAGCAAATCTAAATACTGAATTATTTTGACGAACAGATTTCATTTAATTATCTAAAACATCTGACAACTTTTGAAGTTATTTACGCTTAATAAAGGAACAAGGACATAGACCATAAAACTATAAACAGTTTAAATTACGGAATTAAAAGTGCATATAAAAGTTAATTACTGCAAATAAACGTCACAGAAAACGAATTTTTGCTGAATGATTGGGCAAATTTTTAAAATTTTCTGTTATTTTTAGCAAGGAAAAAAGAAAAACTTTTAGGTTTTTATCTTCAGTCCAAGTTCTATTACAATTAAAATCAACCAAGCTAAATTGACTTTCTTGGTTAAATTTTAGAGTGATAAAAAGAAAATGAAACTGATCTTAAACAGTCGAGAAAAAAGTTGATTTCCTTATGCCATTAATCAATCTGTCCCACAGAAAACTTTGACAGATAGACCATTTGAAGAAATAACAAGTTTTAAGTAGTAAATCGAATACTAGCATTAAATGGCTACAAATATACAGAAATTCACCTGATGTTGTTGGTCCTCTGATAGGATAGCATCCTGCAAATGATACCAGTTAGTTGATAGGGAACAGATTGTTTGATAAAAATGCGTTTTTATTGAAAGTTTTGCTAAAATTTTCTGCTTTTTGTAATAGAAGAATCAAATTATTTTATAGCCTAAACGATTGTAACAATAGAATATAAACAGTTGATCAACACCTATAACAGCAATTAGATAAAGTTGAAAACAAGCACTAATTTTAGTCAAATTGTTAAAACTGGAAGTAGTTAGCAAATTGATAACAAAAAGTTTAATAACCCAACTATAAAAATTTTTCAGGACTCCGCCACCAAGGATGGTTATCGGATTATCTGTGCTTTCAGGTTATCGGACTTATCGTTTATTGGTTGTACTAAACATTTGGTTTTTCTACGATCGACTACTACTATAATGGCTTTGACGGTAGCAACCTTCGTTCTTTTCAGAAACATCTATCAATCAATTTGAACTAACTTATTTTTTAAGTTCATTCCTTACATAAAATTTCATGAATTTAAAACATTTGCCAACAGATACTTTCGTTTGGACTTTTTCGTTTCAAAACACATCATAGAAGTCAACCAAGATTTTCTTCGAATTTTAACTTTTCTTGCAGAAAGCATATTCCTGTTTTCCACTCATGATGAAAGTTACTCGGAGAGTCATGCAGTTCAGATTTTAGCAACCACTAAAATCTGACCTCTGTAGTGGCAGATTTTAGGAATGACCACCTTCACAAGTGCTCCTCGGTACTGTACAAAACTGGCAACTGTATCAACAGTCAGTGGCCACGGTGATCAATAAGGCAGAATACTGCCAAGAGTATAATAATAATTACTGCTGTATCAGTTAATTGATTGCTCATAACCGTCTGTTATGAATATAATCTTACTTGCGGTAACAACAAGCATGTTTCCCAGCTATTTATAGGCTGCACAGATTTCTATCCGGCCTATAGTCAGCAGCAGCCATGGTGTCTTGGTCAAAAATCAAGGAAGTAGTAACTGGTTTGCGGAACAACGAGACTTAGCGACAGGTGGTAGCCTCAGTGATGTTTAGTCATTTGTAGCCGTTGGCGGGAAGCCGGCGGGTTCAATAGAACAGTTCCTGCAGCGAATACGTTGGAGACTGAATTGGGGAGTGCAGTGAATGGGCAAAGTGACCAGTGTGCGCTTGGTGCACTTTTGGCTCCTACTTTATTTTTTGCAGTGTTTTGCAGTTCTTCGCTACGCCCGTCAAAAATACAAACTCTTTTGATTTTCCATTTCATTTTTTTCTTTTAAACCTCATAATATCAATATGTTATCTCTG